AAGTTCTGCTGCTCCTATTATCTGGGCACAAATCTCTCCTCTTATTTTCCAGCCTTGGACCAGGGAATGGAGGGCTGGGCTGTTACTAGGCTAGGCATCAAGGGGGAATGGAGAACCTCAGTTACGTCTCCACGTTTCCTGCCTTTATCTCTGGACAAGACAGAATATCTCTGCAGTGCCAGAGAGAGTGCAGCCCAGGACTTCACAGGAGTGCCAGCTGGAGTGTTAAAGTTCTTTTTAGCAAGGCTTTTGATAGTCACTTACTAGAAAGGAATGGGTCTATTGAAACTGAGTGTGGAACTGCCACATGGCTCAGGACGGGAAGGGGACCATGGTGGGCTGGGTATCACTGTCTCCTCTGCATAGCATGGAAGAAGCTAAATTCCTCCTATTCAAGACTTCATTAAAGGAAACACATTTGTTGGATAAGGGATGCTGACTTCTTGGCTTGCTGAGCAGGATACTTGCCTGAAATGAAGATGACCTAGATCCAATTTTCTGTTCCAATTCCAGTTCCAAATTGGATGCAACAGGGACTTGAACTTGCAGCCTCAATTCCCAAGAGAGTGCCACTAACTTAAAACCTAGTGGCTAGAAAAGCTCCTGGGATTTTTTTAAATTTTAATTTTGTTACAGGGATTCAGAATTGGAGCCCATAATTGCTTTCAGCTGTAGTTTCAGTGAAACAAATACATTCCTATAGAATTTGATTAAAACAGATCAGCATTTTCTGCCAACATCAATGAATCAAGAATATTTTGGGGAGCTACACTAACAAAAAATTATTTCAAAGAAGGAAAATGGGAAGGGTAAAAGAGGAGAATTTTAAAAGAGGGATTAGAGATAAAGGTAGATAAGCCAAAATAAAGTCCTATTTGGAAAGGAAACAAAAACTTCCCTTTTAAAAATATCTCTAGAACATTCCTGGTTGAATACCTGTCCTGCTTACAAGGCCAATAGACTTTCTGCTCACCAGTGAACACCTGATCAGAGAAGGAGCTGATTATTAATTCACTGATTTATCAAAGTCAGGTTCAGTCTGGAAAACTGCATTTACTGCCAGAAATCCATCAGAGCCCAGTTTAGGCTCAAGACCCTTGATGTCTGTTGTAGCCAGCAAAGCTTTCTCTTCTAGCTTTTTCCTCATCTTCTTATTCTTACACTTTCTGATGTATATTGCTGTAAGCGCCCTTTTGTTTTCTATACTTCCAGCATTCCTTTTAATTACACTGAGATTTTTTTTGTCTAGAAGTTTCAAAATCATTCATTAAGGAGACATACCTCCTGCTTTGATCCTTTGAGTATAGATGTGCTGATGCATTTGCTTTCCTCAGAAAGACCAATTTAATCTTTTGAGCAAATCATCTACATCGAGGGAAGTATTTTGCATTCTAGTAATCTCAAAGTGAAAGAGGTTAAATTTGTTAATGAGATAATATAATTTGGTTACAGTGAAGAAGGACAATACTTGGAAAATAGTAAGAGCTTTTTTCATCTCTCCCACATTATTCAGATAAAAAACCATATAAATATGTAATCCTGCCTGTTTTCCAGCTCAGCTCATAGGTAACTTGTGGCAAAGTGAAACGATGGAAATTGCAAAGATTAAGCAAATGTTTAAGAACCATTACAGATGTATGCAAACCCAAGGATATGAAAATACCTATAGTCCTGTCAACTGTGTTTTACAGGCTCTGAGCAGACTCCTTAGAAATGCCTGAATTCTAGACCAAAGGTATGTTATGCGAGTCCAAACAATTAGGGACTCAAAAACAGGTTACTCAACTGGAGAAGAAAACCTCAAACCAGGAAAAGCACGGGAACTCTAAACCACCAGAAAGCAGCCACATTTACTGAGATATAACAGGAAAGGTATAGAAGAAAATCTTACAGATTTTTTCTTGAGAGAAACATAAAAATAGGCATTCTGGCATTCAACTGAATTTAAAAATTAATCTCTGTAATAAAGCAATACTGCTAGTTCAGCATATGCCAAAATACATGGCTCATTCATGCCAAATGACTTTTTGTTCATCCTTCCTTTCTGATAATGAGTTGTTATAAGTTCAACTCATATCAATTCCTGTGTATTGGTATTGTGACTAGATTGATGAGAATTTGAGAATCTTTAGTACTGCAACTATTTAAAATGAAATCCAAATCCTAAAAGAGTGGCTTGAAAATTAAATTTAGAAAATTACATGAATTTGGGGATTGCACTTTGTCTGTGTTATTTAACACTTGGGTGCTGGTTTATTCAAGCTTTACTGCATAATGTTTTTAAGCTAGCTGCAAATGTAAAACAAGTGAAAAAACAAATCTGAAATGTTCACAAAATCCCAATGCTCAGAGTAGAGCTGAGAAGCGTGCTCAATGCCAAGAGAAAACGAGTTTTCTGAAGCAGAATTTCAGAATATTTGTTTCTATTTGTTGTTTTACTATGGGCAAATTACAATACCAATGTCTACTGGTCCTGTAAAACTGTGCATTTGAAATATTACCAATTAATAAAATGTGGTAATTGTTAAGGTGGAATAAAGTTTAATCTGCATGACTCATGTCATGTTGCAGCATTCCACACAATTTGTTCAAAAAACAGCTTGTTTCCTGCAATGATTGCATGCATGTTTTGGGGGCAGTCATTATTAAACTGGCTTACAAATTTTGACTGTGAAAAGGAACACATCTGCATTCTGTAAATACATGTGCAATTACCTGAGTTCCAGCTACGTTATGTTGATTCTGCTGTTTCTTTTCCTGATTGGAAAGAGAAAGATCTGCTTTTAAAATAAGCAGATGGACTTTCAAACTGCAAGCTTGAATGAATCATTGAAAGAACAAAAATGGTAGAAGACTGAAATCGTGGTGGAATCAAAAACAAGGATATGCAGAACTGACATCAGAAATTATGGATGCCAATGCAAAACAATTATGCTAAATGTGTTCTAGGGCTATAACATCACTAGCATTTTAATAACAGGAAGCATCTGAGAGTTTGTTTTATAAGCAGGGTGCTATGTGGTTCTACTCCATGTGGGAGCTACTGAGAGTGCTGGGACAGGTTTCACACAAATCAGTTTTTAAAACTTTTAAAAATCTTTCCTGATTGGTATTCCTGTTACATCTGCCACGGCAGACACAGTCTGAAGAGGTCATAGGCCTGATGTGAATGTGATCTCTCAGTCAAGACCCTGGCTAATGGATGGGTTTAGGCTCACTTTCTCAAGCCCAGAAGCAGGAGAACTGTTTATGACGTGGAGCCCTACCTACACCGTACAAACAGAACCTCAATAAAAACTGTGTTAGTCAGGGCATCCTAGTGCAGATGCAGCTACAATATGGTAATCTGAATTTACAGAGTCTTCAGTGTCTTCCTCCACACCCCTACTATCTTGGATTTCCAGCACAGTTCCGCTGGGAATCTGTCATCTACAGATTGGCTTTTTTCAACTAAGTAGAGACAGAGCATCAATAAAAGCACCTTGGATCTCTGTTCTTAGGTAGATTTGACACTGTGGAAAACCATGGCTCTGTTTCCCACTGCACAATGACTTTTCTCAGAGCACACATCTCTGGTTTTTGGCAGGTTTCAAATCTGCCTTAGTTTTAGCAGCCAGCTGGTACTGCCAAGGTAAGAGCCAATCTGAATCCTTGAGATGTGAAAACAAGTGAAACCACTTTCAGAAATATATAGCTTTTTTTTTTACAAGCAGTGGTTTTGTGCCCATCTACATCTGAGCTTCTTTTTTTAAAAAGCAGTAAGTTTTATTTAAAGCAAATTATAATAATAAAGACTTAAAAATGGTGTTCTATTTTTGCTATAAGGATTGGGTTAAAGCTGAATAATCATTAACAGGTATCTGTCAAGGGATAAAATATAGAGGCAATTTGTAGAGAAACCTGAGATTCAGCAGCTCCTGAGTAGCCATACACTCAATATATTCAGCAGCTTCTGAGTAGCCAGGCTGACATTAAAGAAGGCTGCTAGAATAGGATGTTCCAAGTGAAGGGCCAGCATTCTTGGAGTCAATGACATCAAGTGAATATATAAAGAATCAGAAGAAAATTAGGGCATTTAACTGAGAGGTTTGAATTGGAGAAGATAGGATAGTCAAAGATCAAACTAGCTTTACACTCCTAAATTAGTTCTAATTGGAGAAATGTGGGTTCTATTAAATCTGCCTTGAGACCAGTAAAATGTCCAAATGGAAAACAATGAGAACATGTCCCAAAACTGTCAGTCATCTTATGAGCAATAGATTTTTGAGGAGTTTCATAATGGAAAATTTAGGCTAAATAATTCAATCTGTACATAGCAAGTCAGATATGTATTGAAAGTCGAGTTCGAATGCAATTTAAATATTACAAACAGGAGAAGGAAAAATAGGGGAAGAACTTTAGAGAACTTGGACTAAAATGATACAGCTAAACACAAACAAGACATGGAAAGGAAAATAATATAAAAAAGGCAAACAGAACCTCTGTACTACCATACCCAAACATCTCTCTCACACTAGGAAGAATAAAGGCCAGAAAATATCAGAATGACCTTTATTTAAGCCATAAAACCTACATTTAGATACCAATAGAAAATGGATGTTCAGTTTTGATCATAGGCATTCTCAGACTTCAGATTACCTGTGTTCTTTCACTAAGAGCTCCATTTTAGAAATTCTAAGGCACAAAAGTCCCATATTTCTGTTATATCTGTGGAAAGATCTTAGTACACCATTATAAGCTTAACTGTATGTCAGTGCAATTTATTACATGATTCAAATCAGAATGTACTTTTGGAAACTTTCCCAAAAGTTTACATTAGTGGATTCTTACTCTTCTACTTTAGGACTATAACATTATACAATGCATTAGAGGCTGAAGGCATAGAGCAAAGAAAAGGTTTAATTACAGTTCCTGTGTGGAAGCTATAAATACATGGCAAGGATAAAGAAGACAAGATAAGAAACCAAAAATGAAAAAAAATATAGTGATGAGAAAATCACCTTAGAAATGACATCCTGAGGCAGAGGATATTGATGATGAATAGTAATAATATTCAGTCTCAGATAGTGCTGATGGTTCCAGCAACAGCTGCAGAGATTATCATTGTATTAGTCACTTTTCTGTGGCTTATTAGGAGAATTTCAGTTCAGTCAACTCTCCACTTCTGGCTCAAGTGTTATGACCTGAAGGCAAAGATTACTCTGGTATACTTTCTATCATGAAAACGTGCATTAGATATATTTTTTAATTAGAAGAATAAACATTCATAATTTTCTGCAGGAAAATTATTATAGGAGGAATTGTTACTGAAACTGTATTAAAAATGTAACTCTTACTGTGAAAGTGAAAGAATTTTGCATATTTTCAGGTTGCTTCAGGGTATTCCAGCAACCCCTTGAAGTTAAAAAGAATAATATCAGAAAGAGCCTTTTTCATCTTTTTCCAGACAGTACAAGCCCCAGTTCCAAAACAAACTTTAAACTCACTCTCCATGCCAAGAGAAGAGTCTCTTAATTGCTATACTAGCTTTACTACTACTAGAGTAGCCTCACTGTAAAATTTTCTATATCCTTTACTACTATAGTATATATCTTTAATACTACACTATTACAGCTATCCTAGCTTGCTAATTAATTTATTGTTTTATTTTACTTTATACACTGTTTCTGATTTATTTTAGAAAATACACTGATTATTTTACTTTTAAATTAATTAATTTCATTTCTAATACTGCAATATTAGCTTTACTGCTTTATACTAGCTTTATTACTACGATATAGGCTTTCCTACTGCTGTAATAGAGGTAAGTATATAAGTTATCATAGAGCTTATAACACTTAATTGTAGAAAACATAAGTACCATTATCCCATCTCAGAGTGAATCTGTTCATGACTGCTTGGAAAGGAAATCTCTAATGTATAATGAGAGGGCTCAAAAAGTAAGCAAGGAAAAGGTCCTGAGATATCTACTCCAAGGCTGCATTATATGAATGAAGATGAAAAGCTGAATTAAAAATCTAGAGCTACACGAAATGTTATATAAGTATACCTGATATACTTTGCAAAGGTGATTCATAGACTAAGTCTGTATTTGGTGCACACTTGAGCTGCATCCACGTTGCTGCAGTCTGCAGATTGTGTCCCAGATTGGTTTCCCCTCAATACAATGTCTTCTTAGTGGTTATAGATAATTATAGACCATTATTTTGCATTTATTGACCCTCAATTTCTGTTTCAAACACTGCTGTAACTGTCCCAAATACAGGAGCAGCTCTCTCCTTCCCAAAGCCCACAGAGCATTACGACAATCTAAATCTGCTCTGCAGACATCCTGCAAGTGAGTGGTCATTCATTTCCACTCTTCCACGTGAAGAACAAGGACAAAACCTTTTAAGCAAATTCTAACCTGCTACCAGGACAGACTGGGCCATAGCTGCATGAGTGCAATCTGTTCTTTCCTGTCTGGAAACTTGGGACAAATGAAATTAATTTTAGATAGTGAAAAAACATCCATCTCCAGGCCCAGAACAGCTTAAAGCAGATTTTCAGGATGACGGTGAATTTTAGGACAAGAATAATTGCATTTGCCAAGTATTTGGTATACCTCTCTGAAGCTCCTGATCTCAGAAGGATGTCATTACCCTTTCAAGCTTAGTCACTCCTGATCATTAGTTTGAGCTAGGAGAATCAATTGTCAAGATCATAAATTTGCTCACAGACCTCATGTATATCATCCATAATGGAATGGTTTCAGAAGAATCCCTATACTCCTCCCACAGGAGATTCTCCAACTTTTTAAAGTAATAAATGGTGTCCATATGACCAGTAGACCACCACCTTAGGAGACACAGCTCTCTATCAGGAGGGATGGCTGTGGCCCCTCACAGGATGGTTCATGGACTCCCTGACACCAAATTAATGAAGGAGCCGTGGGAAGCTGACCCATTTTGGCTGATTCTGATCAAGGATGGACATGTACATGCACAGCCTTTCAATTTCTCAGTGTATAGCTGTGCTTCTGAGTCATGAACGTGAATCAGCAGTATGGTGCTGCAGCAAAAGTGGCCAACTACATTCTTGGCGGTGTCAGCAAGAGAAGACCCAGGAGGTCAAAGCAAGAAATCTATCTCCTTATTCAGTACTTGTAAAACCACATCTGGTGCATTATAAGGAGGTCTTGAGGACCACCTGACTTGAAAACCTTCATCCAACAAAGCCCTGAGGAACCTGTTCTATCAGGATCTGCTTTGAGCATGGGGGTAGAAGAGAGGACCCCTAAAAGTCTCTCATAACCTCAGTTACTTTGTAGATACATGACTATATGTCATTAGCAGCAAACCTTCATGGCCATGAAATTTAGTGTGCAAAGGCATTACATCTTTTTTTCTCACAGAACTCTCTAACCAGCACCAGAAATAGGAACAGAACCTCAGGTGGCTCCTCTGCATACTACCAATACAGTTCTCTGTAGTCTGGCATTACAGCCTGCTTGCTGGATGTCCTTCCAGAAAGGTACATAGATTTCTGAGATCCTTGTAAGCAGACATCAGATACGTGACAGCATCCATAGTGGAGTGAGACAAAATATGCCAAAAGCATCAGCTGGTCTCTGTAGCCAGTCTCATCTCATGCTCTGAGATGCCTTTCTAGGACAGCCTCTGAATGTGTTTACCAACATATAGGCAGTACAGAGAGTCAGCGCACTATGCATCCATGGTAAAAACTGGGAGTGTAAAAACATCACAATACTGAAATACTTCAAATAGGCTTGGTCAGAGAATTTTTCATGCTCTGATCATCACTAGAGGGCTGGTGTGGTTTTTCAGGGCAGGTGTGCTGACAACAGTTTGAGCCTGCCCAGCTTCATACACAGGTGAATCTGTTTCCACTGTGCCTGCTACCATCTATCACAGGTCAGTTTGCAGAGTACACTATGTCACAGTAATGAATCATTAGATTGTAATTAAACTGGCAATTATATAAATAACTTTGGCAAATAACCTTTTTTCTTCAAAAGAAAACCATCAAGGATTTTTTAGAAGAGACTGCAGGAAAAAAAATGAAACTAGTTCTATTTAAATAAGAGTGGAATAGAAAGAAAATCTCCTGGAAAAAGTCAAATGTAAACATTTTTATGAACTCTTATATGATGAAAATGGCATGACTGGTTTCCTTAATAAAAAATAAAAAGTTAGGTCAGAGATAAAGCTTAATAATTTTCAGAAGAAAAGCCAACTGAAGAGGAAGCTAATAAAAAAAACAGGTCTTAGCATTGAACAGGTCTTTTTAAATTTAGGATGAATGACTGATGCTCTAAAAAATCCCCGAGGTTATTCTGTAGGTACCTTTGTATTTATGAGGGAATAATGATGATAATGCCTTTCTGTGATTATGGTGGGAAAGTGTAGGCCATAGATTCCAGCAGAAGGGAGAAGAGAAGGAATGAGGGAGTCCACTTGAAGTCCCAGAATAACTTAATCTAGGCTCTCATCTTCAGAAAGAACATTTTAATTTAGAGTTCCAACATCAAAGACCATATGAAATCACCATTTCTTTGAAAATCCATACTAAAGGACAAGGAGATATTAGCCAAAATCCTTAAACTAATTAGTACCAAATACTCCTTTGGGCTGAACTTCTCCCTAGGATCAAATTACTGAGCTCAAGTTAGCAAGCTCTTAGCCCAATCTCAGCGTGGGCAAAGACAAGCTTCCAGTGATAACCTTTATTATCCCCATCCTAAAAATTGCTTTTTAGTATGTTTTTTATTCTTTTCTTTTCCAGTGATTTATTTTGTTTTTATCCAGGAAGCATCATTCCTTAGTATCTACTTCTGTTCACATACAAACAAGAATGAAAACAAACCAAGGACTTAATGACCTTTCCATTCCTCAGCAAGGAACCACTTTATTACTGTATCTCATCATCTGTCATAATTCTGACTGCAGACTTCACCTCCATCCCTAACAGAAAAGAACCAGTCCTGGCTCTTGCAGGAATGCATGTAACATCAGGCTGAAGAGGATGACTGTGACTGTTCAGACCATTTCACAGTGGACTGGCAATGTTATCCCAAAATATATTCTCAGATGAACAGAAAGGACTGAGAGGAAGGTAAAAGGACTGGCAAGTGAATAGACCAAAGGCAAAAAGCCTAGCAAGGTGATAGGGGATTCTCAATACAGATTTATAAGCAGCTAGGGAAGATGACCGACCTTGCACCAGACTAAGTAGGAACTATTGAGTAAAGAAGAAAGTATGTCCTCAGAGTGCAACTGGAGTTTTTGTTACCTTAAAACTTAGTATTTAAATTCAGCACTTGAATTAAAATTATGTATTGCTATATTAACTTCTTTAGGACTTTGAGGCAATTTGATTTATAGAAGATAACAGTCGTGAAAACTGTGCTTTTAAGACAGCAGGTCTCACTACAGCTTTATACCTAACTGTGAGGAGAATTAGGTTCACTGAGTAGGATTTATTTTTCTTTGCCTAAATTTTTTAAAAAGCAAGAAAGACCTTCTTTTCACTAACATATTGTAATGAATAAAAATTCAGCTTTGACCTGGATAAATATCTATCAAGGTTTGCAGAAGAGACATTACTATTGACCTTATCATCTTAACAACACAGTTGGAGAGCTCTATTTCCTTCTAATTTATACTCACACAATTTGAAGGCTATGGCATATGCTATAGAAAAAGCAATAAGGCAAACAAAACAATTCTTTTCGTTTGTAAACAAAATGGTGTTTCTGACAGACAGAGTTGCCAGAGTAAATGCCAGCTTACCATATTGTATACTGGGTAAGATATTGCTATGAAGAAAGCAAAATTCAAAAATTTTTTCTACTAATTATATTAATGAAGCATAATTTTCAGTTCATTTATGTATGTGGTTTGCAAGCTTTTAAGCTCAATAAAAGTCTAGACATCAGAATGTACAGTCACTGCATTTTTGTAAGAGAAGTGAATACATTTTTAAAACAGACAAATTATTATGAAATAATGATTGCTTGTAAAAAAATAGTACACTTTCTTGATTTGACATTTTAAATTCAAATACTAAGGTAATTTTACTTTGAATGAAATGACAATGTGAGCTAAATGAAAACAAACTCCCTTGAGAATTATTTATCATGCTACTAATATTGAGAAATATTTTCTGAAATTTAAAATACATTAATTAGTTCTTTAGTAACTCTATCCCATTTTTAATTCACCTGGAAGTTCTTGGCCTACTCTGCATAGTTAGATGGTAGAACTTACCATGCTTTTTGGCTGGGCTGGCTTCCTGGGCCATTTTTGCTGTATGTCTGATGCAAATTGAAGATTTCATGGATATCTCAAATTAGAGGCATGAAGTCTAGGAAGCCTGAAGCCTTAAGATTTTACCTC